CCTACCTACCTACCTACCTACCTACCTACCATTCCCAACATCTCTAGCCAGCAAAGTCATGTTTCCAGCCTCGGAGTCAACAGAGGATGGGATGGGGAAAATAACAAACTCACCTGTTTCCATCATCCTTTTTTTTTAGAGCTGTGATAAAGATACCCTAAGTCAGGTTCCAGAGTTTTCATTATATTGTCATGGAGGAGGGCATGTTTTGGAAAGAATCTCATGCTAATCTTTTAAGAAAACACCTCAAAGAGCAAAAATTGATATTAAAAGAACCAGAATATAGGAAAATCCTTTTTTCTTTTTCTTTTCTTTTCCTTCCTTTTCTTTTCTTTTCCTTCCTTCCTTTTGCCACCTGCAACTCAGATGGTTCCTTGCACAGTCATTTAGTGACTCCCAGTGTGATGTAGAGCAGGGGTAGTCAACCCTTGGTCCATGGCGGTGGGCGTGTTGCGCTCACGCAGGGGGATGTTGTGCCCGCAGTGGTTGTGTCATGCTCACGGGGGGGGGGGGGCATGAAGCTCACTCCACCCAGCCAGTCCACGGCCCCAAAAACGTTGGGCACCGCTGGTGTAGTGGATACAGTGACTCTGGAGAACAGGGTTCAAATCCCCACTCAGCCATGGAAACCCATTAGAGGAGTGGAATTGGTAAAAGCACTCCTTAAACATCTTACTTATCTTGAAAACCCTGTTAGGGTTGCTATAAGTTGTTTCTGACTTGACAGCACAGAACACACAGTCATTCTTATACATCTTCTTATACAGTCCCTCCTATTTGACCTTTTACTACTTGCTTATTATATTTTATGCTCTCTTAATTATTTATTCAGTACACCTCTACTCCATTTTGAAAAATGGAGAACTGATAGGCTAGTGCTGCTCTGATCTCAAGTCAATAACTGTTCTAGGCTATCAGGGAAACATATCTGGCTTTCTCTGAACATTTCCTATACTCCTGTGTGCTGTATTGCTGCCCCAAAGCTGCAATTTCCTCAGGATAAAAACACAAAATGAGGGCATGATCAAATGGCAAGAAAGCTGAACTTTATCTGATTGCACTGGAAAGGGCCATTTTGGCAGGAACAATCTGCCTTTAAGCAACTCATCAAATGGCAAGAAAGCTGAACTTTATCTCATTGCACTGGAATGCAATCTATCTATCTGAGAACTACTCCACCCTGGTCCCCAAAAGTATTAGCCCTGCTGCTGGATCAAAAAGGTCCAGCTTGGGTGCAGACTGGGCACAGAAAGATCCGGCTTGGGCTGGAGTGCTATTCCGTGTAGGTTGTGTAAGCATCAGGAAATCTCACACCAGACTGCTCCACAAGTGGTCCAAAATGCAAGCTATATGCCTGTGTGAACCATCTTGAGAAGTTGCCACTCCAGCAGGCCAGATGATCTCTACAACCCTGGTCCCCAAAAGTATTAGCCCTGCTGCTGGATCAAAAAGGTCCAGCTTGGGTGCAGACTGGGCACAGAAAGATCCGGCTTGGGCTGGAGTGCTATTCCGTGTAGGTTGTGTAAGCATCAGGAAATCTCACACCAGACTGCTCCACAAGTGGTCCAAAATGCAAGCTATATGCCTGTGTGAACCACACCCTGACTGGACTGCCAAACAAATCTTACTTCAATAATGATTGCAGGGAAGTATCCCAGCGGCCAATTTTACCAGGTGGAAGATATCTTGGCTGACAAATAGAGCTCTGTCTCCCAATGATTTTTTTAAAAACAAAACTCTGTTTTAGACAATCCATCACATTACAAACAGATAATACAATTAACTATTCATCTTACTTACTAAATATTTTAACATTCTAAACATAGTAAACTCACAGCAACAAATAGTTATACTACATTTATGGACTATTATAAAAGTTTGTATAAATCAGAAATAATACTGGATATAAATACCAAGAAATTTATAAACTCCTTACAAATCAACAAAATTTCAGAGAACTACGAAGATCAAATTAACTCCCCAATAACAATGGAGGATATAAATTCAGTTATTAAAAAGCTTAAGAAAGGAAAATCACCAGGCTGTGATGGATTCACAGCTGACTTTTATAAAATTTGCGAAGATGTCATAGAACATCTTCTAGAATTATTCAGTTCAATCTTAGAAGGGGGAAAAATACCAGAGACATGGTGAACGACCAGGATAATAAAAAATATTAAAATCAGAAAAAGATCCAATGCTTCCTTTGTCTTATAGGCTAATAAATTTGCAAAATCAGGATCACAAAGATTAAGCAGCTTTGTCACTAAATACATTCATACAGATCAATATGGTTTTATGCCAGGAAGACAAATGTGCAATGCTATTTGCAGAGTTCTGAATGTTATATATGTGACCAGTAAAGAAAAATGGAAAATGGCAACACACTATTTTGAACACAGTCAAGGCCTTTGATTGGGTAGAATGGCCATATAGGTTTGATCTTTCGGAGAAAAGGAATATGGGTAAAAACATCATCAAAGTGTCTTCCAACAAATGGGAATGGCTCAAGAGAACAGAGAGGCTGCCACTGCCACCTCCCAGCACCTGCCACCAGAGGCAGTTGTCTCAATTTACCTAATGGTAGGGCTGGCCCTGAATGCAGAAAAGAAGTGTTCTGCACAGAGTGGTAACAATGCCCTGGTTTACTTGCTAGCCCTGTCCCTTGGCTACAATTAACTTTGGTTCGATTATATAAACAACACAAAGAGAGAACAGATTTCAGCTAGAGATCGGCATGAACCACCAACACTGCAGTTCATCTTGACTTGTGGTTCACGGAAGTCCACAAACCATGAACTACGATGTTATGATTTTTCTTGAACAAACGACGAATCAAGTAATTGTTTCATTTGGGATTTTTTTTAGACAGCCCCAGGGCTGTCTAAAATAACAACAATAACATGGCTTGCTCCTCATCCCCACAGCTTGCCTCCCACCCCCTTTCCACTGCTCCATTGCCTCCCTACCTTTTTCTGTCACTACATCCTCCTCCACCACCATGGGCATGACCATCTTGAGAAGTTGACCCTCCAGCAAGCCAGATGATCTCTACACATGTTTCTGC